CTGTGCGGCGGGCGCGCGGCGCGAGCATGGTGGCGCGGGCAGTGTCGCCTGGCGGCGATTCTGAATGGAGGCAGGAGCCTCGGAATCTCGTGCGGAAGGCGGAACGGACGGCGGCACGGCGGGCGCTGCTGGCGGCGGACTACGGCCTGGCCGCAGCCAAGGCAGGGGTCCAGAGGCGGCGCGGCGAGCTGCAGGCCGTGCAGAGCGGTTGTGCGGCCATCCTGGGGGGGGCCGGAGCTGGCCGACCGCGTCGCGGCGCTCGTCCTGGCCCTCTGGGGCTTTGCTGCAGGGCATGGCGCCGCTCTTCGGAGGAGGCCCTGGGGGGGGGAACGCGGCGCTGCATGCGGACGGCAAGGGGCACAGCACTGCTTCGGCCGGCCGCGAGCAGCTGCGCAGGCTGCGCAGCGGGAGGCGCCGCCTGCGGCGACTGGTGCTGGAACCTGGCGGGCGCCCCCCCCCTCCTTCCTGCAGGGTGCCGACGAGGACGCGCGGATGGCTTGACTGGCAGCGGACGGCGCCACCACGGAGGTCTTGGGCCAGTTCGACCTCGAGTGTGACGGGGCGGCGCACGAGTTCACGGCTCTCGCGCCGGCTGTGGCCTTCGCGGGTGGCTTGGAGGCGGGTCGGCGGCTGGCGGAGCGCTCTGCCTGGTCGGGCGCGAACGGGAACGTGGACACCTCGACCGACGAGGCGAACGACGAGGACGAAAACGCGCTGCAGAACATAGAAAATATCGAAATCGCGGCAGCTTCGGAGGAGTCGGAGGGCGGCTGCGAGTTCGACGGCGACGACGGCGGCGAGCTCGCCGAAGGCTCCTCGGGCGGGGAGCTGGACGCCAAGTCGCAGAGCGAGCTTGGGAGCGACTTCGACGTGTCGGAGGAGGCATGCGAGCCCGACGGCAACGACGGCGGCGAGCTCAGCGCGGGCCTCTCGCGCGGGCTCGGCGCCAAGTCGGAGTGCGAGCTCCAGGGTGACTCCGACGAGGACGCGGAGGAAAGCGACGGCATGGAGGGAACGGACTTGGGCCGATTTGCGTCGATGCCAGGCGGAGAAGAATGTGGCCAGGACCACGGAAGCGATCGCCAACGTGGAGACCTCGCGCGCCACGCGCGGAAGTCTTGGCGGAGGTCCGCAGGGCAGTGGACGCCAAGATGGGTTCCGACTCTTTTGGATTATGTTTGAATCTGTTCTGATTATTTTGAATTTTTCGTTGGAAATCCGCTTGTAGGAGGGAAGGCGGGGAGGGGGATGGGGGGGGAAAAGGGGGGGAGGGGGCAAGGGTGGGAGGGAGGGGCAAGCCAAGGCACCAAGAGGCATGAGGCGGGCAAGGGCAAAGGGCAACGGCAAGCGGGCGGGAAGGCCCGCGATATGGCGGACGCGGGCGCCATGGCCTGCCCCGCGAGGCGGGGCGGCCGGAGAGGCGAGGCCCTGAACGCCGGCGCGCGGAGCCGCCTGGCGCGCAGTCAGGCCGCGGGGGATGGGCTTGACCCGCCCCATCGAAACACGTCGTCGTCGTCGTTGTCGTCGTTGTCGTCGTCGCCGCCGTTGTACGTCGTCCGTTGACGGCGCCGTCGTCGACGCGGCCGCGTCGACGATCGAGGGTCGAAGTGTTGGAACTGCTGGTTTTTTTGTTTCCACTTGGAACCATGTGGAGGCGGAGATCGTCGCCGTCGTCGATCGTGGTCAATCATCGTCGTCGCCGCCGCCGTCGTCATCTTCGCCGATCGTCATCGTCGTTGCCATCGTTGCCGTCAGCGTTGCCGCCGTCGGTCGTCGTCGGTCGTCGTCGGTCGTCGCCTTCGCCGCCGGCAGTCGACGTCGTTGCCATCGACGTCGTCGTTTCGGAGCCTTTCGGGACGTCTCTCGGGAGCTTCGTCGCCACGGTCGGACGCATTTCGGAAAACTAGCAAGGTTGGACTTTAGTTGGGGTCCACACCCGGCGGGGCTAGGGCATGGATATATATATATATATATACATATATATATATATACACATATACATATATGTATATATAGCGTTCTGGAATGCTCTCAGGCGTTATGGAGCGCTCTGAGAAGGCCGCAGCGCCCGATATTTTCGCTGGGCGTCGCGTAGTGGGGGACCGATAAACGGGGGGGCAGTGAAGTTGGAAGCAGAAAAGGGGCCTAATTGGGGCCCCAGCAGGGGGCCCATTTAGGCCCGAAAGGGGGCTTTTGGGGCCCGAATAGCGAGCGCACCTTTCTTCCCCTTCTCTTATCGCCCCCCCATGATTTTAAGCGAGGTCCAAGTTCGGCCTCCACCTCCACACGGCTCGGCAAATCGGCCAAGCCCCAGCCATTCTGGGGTGGATTTCCCACGCCTCCAGCGTCGGAGGTTTGGGTCGTCGCCGGCGTCCTCGTGGCCGCCGCGGCCGCCGCGTCGATGGGCGGGAATTCGACGGTTTGCGTGTGTGTGTGTGTTGTGTGTTGTGTGTGTGTTGTGTGTTGTGTGTTGTGTGTGTTGTGTGTGTGCGTTGTGTCTTGTGTGTTTGTTGTGGTGTGGTGCGGTGCGGTGCGGTGCGGTGCGGTGCGGTGCGGTGCGGTCTGGTGCGATGTGGTGTGGTGTGGTGTGGTGCGGTGTGGTGTGCCCATTCGATGCGGGATTCTTCCACGTCTGGCTCTTCCCTCCCCCTCCCTGTGCGCGGCCGCCCTCGTCCTTTTCCCTTCCTTGCAGGCCGGTCAGTTAGCCCTGTGGTTGCCCCGAAGTGCCGCACGCGGGAGCGAACCGCCTCTGCCTCGCTGCCAAAGGGAAACGTGTAGGGGGGGGGAGGGCTTCGCTGGGCTGCTCGAGACCTCCGGAGCCAAAGCTCGCCATCGCGTCGCCGTCGCTGCCGCGAGGGGGGGAAAGGACGGCGAGGGGGGAATGAGGCGAGGGTAGCAGAAGGAGGGCAAAGACGAGGAGAACGTTGACGAGGAGGAGGAGTAGGCGCAAGAGAAGGACGCGGAGGGTGGAGGGTATTACAGGCGGGGGTATTTGTATATATATATATACATATTGTGAGAGAGAGAGAGAGAGCTCGCAAACACGAGAGATAGAAACAAAAGAGAGAGAGAGATCAATAACGAAAGAGGGAGAGAGACAGGTAACTTGTGCTTCATTTATAGGGCTGACAAAAGGCCGATAAGGAGGTTGGAACCAACGACGGGACAACCATTGGGACAAGCGTCTCCATCAATCTAACAATCGCTATAGGTTTCATTATCTATATGCCACGATGCCATTATAGTATTGGATATACCGATACATCGATCTCACAGTCAAGCTCACGATCTATCCATGGATATCACTATCCATCGACCCCACTCTCTATAGACCACAATATAGCACCCGGCGCTACTACCTAATCATGCCTTTATCCACCGATGCCATTATCAGCCGCACTGGCGATCTCTCGATTGACCTCGCCAACGACCTGCTTATCCATTTCACCACCCGTTCATCGATCTCCCTATATATATCTATATATATATATACACATCGACCTCGCTATCCTCCGGTCGATCCCACGACCTGTCGATCTCCCTACCAGCCGTCGGGGCAGACATCGACAGTCGTCGGGACGACCGCGGGACAAGCACGGGACAACAACGAGAGAGTCCTCGGGGCTCGCGGGGCCCTCGGGGCCCTCGGGGCTCGGGGCCTGCGCCGCCCGTCCTCCCCCCCCCCCCCCGTCCGGTCCGCCGCCGACCCCCCCTGCCAGGATGAGGAGGGAGAGGACGGGGAGGAGGAGGAGCAGGAGGAGGGGGAGGAGGAGGAGGGGGAGGGGGAGGAGGAGGAGGAGGAGGAGGAGGAGGAGGAAGAGGAGGAGGAGGAGGAGGAGGAGGAGGGGAGGAGGGGGAGGAGAGGAGGAGGGGAGGGGGAGGAGGAGGAGGAGGAGGGAGGAGGAGGAGGAGGGAAGGGGGGAGAGAGGGAGATGAGGAGGAGGGAGGGGAAGTGGGAGCAGGAGGAGGGAGAGGAGGAGGAGGAGGTAAGGAGGAGGAGGAGGAGGAGGAGGAGGAAGAGGAGGAGGGGGAGGAGGGGGAGGAGGGGGGAGGAGGGGGAGAGACTTGTGCTCCGACGCCGCCGTGGCGACGGCGCGGGATCTCGCGCCTCGCCCCTCGCCCCGCGCACGCAGAGCTCGCCCTCGCACGCGCACGCCGCGAGCACGGCACCGAAGCCGCTTTTTCCCGTTGCGGGGTCGCCGCGCTGCGCTCCGAGCGCACCCGCCAACCCGCCAAAGGGGGAGCGCGGGCGGGCAGTGCGGCAGGCGGAGAGGGCGCGAGGCAGGCGGCGAGGGAGCGAGGTAGGCGGAAAGAGAGAGAGAGAGGGAGGACGAGAGAGAGAGAGAGAGCGAGAAAGAAAGAGATGGACACAGACACGCATACAGACAGAGGACAGAGAGAAAGAGAGAGAGAGAGAGAGAAAAAAGAGAGAGAGAGAGAGAGAGACTGAGAGAGAAAGAGTGAGAAGACTGAGAGAGAAAGAAGAGTGAGAGAGAGAGAGAGTGAGAGAGAGAGAGAGAGAGCGAGAGGGAAAGAGATGGGCACAGACACGCACACAGACAGAGGACAGAGAGAAAGTGAGAGAGAGAGAAATAGAAAGAGAGAGAGAGAGAGAGAGACCGAGAGAGAGAGAGAGAGAGAGAAACGGCGCGCGTGCACTTGGGCTACAGCATATCTCAAAAGGGAAAGGTGTACGTGTACAGATAGAGAGACCTAGACAGAACAAATAAAACAGGGAATAAGGAATTCATTAAAGGTGAGCGGTGAGGGAGCAGGAGGACGGCAGGAGGAGAAGTACTCAGAGGATCAGAAGGGTCAGAAGCAGCAGCAGCAGTAGCAGCAGGAGGCTCAGGAGAAGGAGGGGGAGAGGAGGAGAAGGAGGCCCAGGAGACGGTGAAGAGGTAAGGCAACGACAGGAATTAGGGAAAGGTGGCGAAAGAAAGGTCAGCACATAATTAAGAAGGGCAATCTCAGAGTTCCACAGTGAGCAGATGCCGTCCTTCCGAGCGCCAGGAGGAGTACACCAGCGGCAATTACGAGCACATTGTTGACGTCACCACCGTTCAGCAGGAGCGCCGATGTGTGACCAGGTCGTGTTAGTGCAAAGGTTTAGCATTGTTGCTGCTCCACGTGCAGATACTCGCATACTTCAGCGTCAGCTCGACCAGTCCGGCTAAAGGACGTCCAGGCTTGGACGCAACCTGTGGCAGGTGATGGAGTGGATGCGAGACTTGCGGGGAAGAAGAAAGCGCGAGGATGTGGAGAAGGGTGAGGAGGACGAGCACGACGACAAAGGAACGAGAGAGGACGACCACGAGGAGAGAAGGAGGAAAAGGCGAACCAAGAGGCGATAGGATTAGAAGGCGAGCCAGAGTGATAGCGAGCAGAGGGTGTGGATGAGGTAGAGAGGGAGATGGAGAATTCAGGAACAGCGGCAGCAGGAGGATATGGAATGGGAGGGCCACTGGAAAGAGTCAGACGGGCGTGAGAGAAAAGGCTGGCGATTGGTCATTTGATTCGTCGCAGTCGCAGGTTGCACGTGAATGGTTAGACTGGAACGGTGTGCCAAAAGGGTGGGTCGTGGGCTGCGCCTGGGCCCTCTCGAGGTCACCAGAGGCCTCCTGAGGTCCTGGGTAGCCTGCGTAGGCCAACAAATGCCGAAGACATCCAAATCATCTTCGAACATCCTTCCTCCCTTAGCATTCTGTCGGGCCTGTCCCTCTACAGGAGGAATATCAAAAAATAGTTAAAACATAGTCTGGGGACTAGTTTTCAGTTAGTATGGTTTGGAGCCTGCTTGCATATGTGTTGACCATGTTTAATTTGTTATCGGAAATCTTCCTTTAGGGGGACAGGCCCGACTTAACCTAAGCACTGCAGCAGTGTCCTTGGATCGCGCCTCTGGACGCTGTGGCCGGCACCTCGTCGCTCCCCCAGGCTGCTTCGAAGGGTTCCAGCTGGAAAAGAGTGTTTGCACTGCTAGGCTTAAGTCGGGCCTGTCCCTCTACAGGGGGAATATACAAAAATAGTCAAACGAATAGTCTGGGGACGATGTTTTGAGTATCTTTTGACCATTTGGGAATATTTGTTGGTATGTTTTTATGTGTCGTCCAAAATCCCCGGACAGGCCCGACCTAATGCTTGCACTGCCAGGCATCTGACTTCGTTTTTGTGTTCAGCCGGAGCGGTTGTTTTCCCAGTCTCGGCCTCCAGGGGGAAATCTCGGCTTCTGGGCACCACCAAAAAATTACGCAACGTCTGGAGTACAAGTGCAACCACTACGTTGAGGACGGGACAGGGCACCCGCCCCGTGCGTACCCCTTCTAGCGACGAGGAAGTACCAGACCTGCCGCGGCCCGCGGCCCTGAGACTGATAGGGCATCCACTTCCTGCGCACCCCCTCTAGTGTTGAGAGATTGCTACGCCTGTCGTGCCCTGGGATCATGGACCTTCGATAGGGACGACGTTCGGGGTCACCCTTTGCGCACCGCCTCTAGCGTAGAGAAGGTGCCAGCTGTGCCGTGCCCTGAAAGCCTGGACCATCAATAGAGATGCCGTTCGGGGACCACCCCCTGCGCACCCCCTCTGGTGTCGAGAACGTGCCACGTGCGCCGTGCCCTGCGAGCCTATATCGTCTAGAGACGGCGCTCAGGGACCATCCCCCTGCACACCCCCTCTCGTGTAGAGAAAGTGCCACGTGTTCCGTGCCCTGCAAGCCTGTACCGTACAGGAAAGACGGCGCTCGGGGACCACCCTTTGCCCAGCCTTCTGGTGTCGAGAACGAGCCACGCTTGCCACCACGGCGGCCGTGCCTGGCGAACCTGAGCCGTACAGAGACGGCTCTCAAGGACATCCTTCTGGGCATCCCATCTAGTGTTGAGTAAGTGCCACGCTTGCCGTGCATTGCGAGCCTGGACCGTATAGAGACGGCGCTCAGGGACCACCCCCTGCGCACACCCTCGGGTGTCGAGAAAGTGCCACGTGTGCCGTGCCTTGCGAGCCTGGACCATCAGTAGAGGCGGCGTTCGGGGACCACCCACCCCCTGCGCACCCTCTTGAGTGCCGAGAAAGTGTCACGCCCGCCATGCCCTGCGAGCCAGGACCGTATAGAGACGGAGCTCTGGGACCACCATTTGCGCACCCCCTCTGGTGTCGAGAAAGTGCCACGCCTGTCGTGCCCTGCGAGCCTGAACCGTACAAAGACGGATACCAGGGACCGCCATCTGCGCACCCCTTGTAGTGTAGAGAAAGTGCCACCACGCTTGCCGTGCCTTGCGAGCCTGGACAATACAGAGACGGTGCTCTTGGACCACCATGTGTGCAGCTTTCTGTTGTCGAGAATGTACCACGCCTGTCGTGCCCTGCGAGCCTGAACCGTACGGCGCTCAGGGGCCACCATTTGCGCACCCCCTCGAGTGTCGAGAAAGTGTCACGCCTGCCGTGCCCCGCGAGCCTGCGCCGAGATTGCGCTCAGGGATAACCCCTGCACACCACCCAGTGGCGAGGAAGTTCCACGCCTGCAGTGCCCTGCGAGCCTGTGCCGTATAGAGACGGCGCTCAGGGACCACCCCCTGCACACCACCCAGTGGCGAGGAAGTTCCACGTCTGTAGTGCCCTGCGAGCCTGAACCGTATAGAGACGGTGCTCAGGGACCACCATATGCGCATCCCAATCGAGGGTCGATCATGTGCCAGGCGTTGCCGTGCCTTGCGAGTCTGGACCGTATTAAGGCGGCGCTCAGCGACTACCCCTTGCCATTTGCCATGTCTAAGATGTGTCTGCGTGACTTGTCGGCTAGTGCCTAGCGTTGCTTTGCGTATGCTGCGCACGTTGGATGTACGTGCGTGGCTCTTTGGTGTGTGTGTGAGAGAGTGTGAATGCGTGAATGGGTGAGTGCGTGAATGCGTGAATGTGTGAATGTGTAAATGCGTAAATGCGTGAATGCGCGAGTGTGTGGATGTGTGAAGGTGTGATTGTGTGAATGTGTGAATGTGTAAATGTGTGACTGCGTGCATGCGTGAATGTGTGAATGTGTGAATGCGTGAATTTTTGAATGTCTGAATGTGTGAATGCGCGAATGCGTAAAAGCGTGAATGCGTGAATGCGTGAATGTGTGAATGTGTGAAGGCATGAATGTGTGATTGTGTGAATGTGTGACTGTGTGAATGTGTGAATGCCTGAGTGTGTGAATGTGTGAATGCGTGAGTGCGTGAATGTGCGAGTGTGTGACCGTGTGAACGTGTTCGTGCGCGAAAGTGTGAATGTGTGAAAATTTGAATGCGTGAATGCGTGAACGTGTGAATGTGTGAATGTATGAATGCGTGAATGCGTGAATGCGTGAATGCGTGAATGTGTGAATGTGTGAATGTGTGACTGTGTGAGCGCGTGAATGCGTGAATGCTTGAATGTGTGAATGTGTGCATTTGTGAATGTCTGAATGTGTAGATGTGTAGATGTGTGTAGATGTGTGAATGTGTGAAAGTGTGAATGTGTGAATGTGTGGATGTGTGTGTTCGGGCTTGTATGTGTGAATGTTTTCATGTGTGCATGTGTGCATGTGTGAGTGTGTGAATGTGTAGATGTGTGTATATGTGAAAGTGTGAATGTGTGAATGTGTGGATGTGTGTGTTCGTGCGTGAATGTGTGAACTTGTGAATGTGTGAAGGCGCGAACGTGATGTGTGAATGTGTGACTGTGTGATTGCGTGAACGTGTGAATGTGTGAATGTGGGAATGTGTGGATGCGTATATGCGTGAACGTGTGAATGTGTGAATTTGTGAGTGCGTGTGTGTTAGTGCGCGTGTGCATGCCGGATGTTCGTCAAGATGTATTTGTGTGCGCGTGTTTGACGAGTGCGTGTATGTTCTGTATGTTTGCAACGATTCCGCTCCCAGTGTGCCAACCTGTGCACGGAGAGGCCCTGGTGCACCCCCCGCTCGCGCCATTGCCGCGAGCGACCGACTCACCGCAACGCGCATGCGCTGGCCAGCAGAACTAACACAGCGGAACTGATCTTCGGAACGCTCTTTTCGGCGGGCGCGTAAGAGTTGCCCCTCTCAGCGGTGAGCCCAGGGAGGAAGCAGGGCTCGTCTCGATTTGTCCTGTTCGATTCGATTAGATTTCGATGGCTTCCGATTCCGATTCGATTCGACTTGGGATTCCGATTTGAGTTCCGAGTTCTTTTTGGACGCATACTAGCTTGCCGATTTCCACCGATTTGACTTTTCCCGACTCGGCTGCCGATTTCCGCCGATCCGATTCATTTCGATCGCCGATCCGACGTATCGATTCGATTTCGGGCTCTCCTGGGGAAGCGAGAGGGGGCAGGCCTTCTCAGAAGGTCTCTCGCGCCTTCTGAGAAGTTGTTTTCTGCATCTTGGAAGAAGGCTCACAAGATTCCTCAAAAGGGGCCAGGGCTTCTGAGAAGCCCTGCCGCCTTCTGAGAAGGTATGCCCCCTCTCGCTTCCCTCCTGGGCTCGTCGCCAACCCTCGCTGGAGTGACCTTTGGTGCGAGGCTTTCGGGGCTCACGCAACAGGGATCAGCGCTGACGGGGGTCAGCCAATCCCTTCTGGCGAACCCGGGCTTGGGAGATCCGGGTCTGGGAGTTGCTGACCAGCCGGCCAGACTTCGCGACATGAGGGCCCGGTGTGGGGGTGGGGGGGGCGGCTTGGCAACCCGAGCGCGCGGGCCGCCACTGCCGCAGCGCACGCAACGCATCGGCAAGCCGCGCACCAGCGGCCGCGCTTTAAGTCGGGCGTGTCTTGTGACAACGAGTCCTTAGACGGCAACCAGCCATGTTGATCAATATGGGATGAAAAAATGGGAAGAGTAGTTTTTCAATATCTATGTATTTTTTATATATAGAAAATTAAAACATAGTAGGTTTAATTGAGAAAAAGTAGTTTCAAAGTAGTGTCAAGTAGGAAATAGCTTTCCCAACGTAGGCATCACATTTCAATGTCAATTTGCGGGTTGATCAGGACGCGCGCTGCGAATGTGTCGCATTGCAACCATCATAGCCGCGGCCATCCTGGGCGCGTTGCGCTGCGCCGCATTGCTTGAGGTTCGCAGGCGCGGGGCCGCGCTGCGCGAAACAAGCGCGTAGTGTCGGGGGCCATGAATGCAGGGTCGCAGCGCCGGTTTCTTCTTGTATAACAGGGCGGCCCGCGGATTCCATAGCGCGCTGCGCTTTCTGCCGGTTGCAGCTTCTTGACCTGGGCCGAGCAAGTGGCGGGGCCCCGCCCGCAAGGCCAGCGCGCAGTTAAGATGGGTGAATATGGGCCCTTGCGCGGGGGCGGGGCACTTATTTCGGTGATTTAGAGGGCAATTTCGGAGCGCCCCCCGGGCTCGCCAGGGGGCCGCCGGGGCTCTCCGGGGGGGAGCGCCGCGACCCGCCCGCGGGCCCGCCGGCGGCTGGCCGGGCGGGCCTCCGGCGGGCCCATGGTCCTCGAGATCTCGCGCGGCCGACCCAGATTTGCGCGCGCCGGCGCGGCCCGGTCCGGATTTGCAAAACGCGCTGCAGCGCGACCGGGCCCAAATTTGCACGCGCCGGCGCGGCCAGGCCCGGACACGCAAAACGCGCCAGCTCGGCCGGGCCCGGATTTGCAACGCGCGCCGGCGCGGCCCCGCTTGATGTAATAAAACGTGCCAGCGCGGCCGGCCCAGGTTCGCAAACCGCCTGGCCCGAATTCCCGCGCGCGGCGCGACCGGGCGCCAGCGGGCCGCCCGAAGAGGGGGTAAAAAAAACGATGTACAAACTACTTTAAAGCTGCTTTAAAGCTATAGCTACGTCAAAGCTATCTCCCGGGGCGCCCGCGGGCTCCCCGGGGGGGCTAAAAAAAAATTACTTCCCGGAGCAAAGCGAGCTACTTGGAAGCTACCGTAAAGCTAGTTGAAAGCTAGAAAAAGCTACATGGAAGCTAGAAAGCTAGAAAAAGCTAGAGCAAACTATCTCGATGACCTGCTAAAAGCCATATCGGAATTCCCTCTCGGCTCGTCGGCGCGCCCCCCGGGCCCGCCGGCGGCTCGCCGGGGTTGGCCCCACGCCCCCCCGGGGCCGGCCGGGCCCGCCGGCGGCTGGCCGGAGGGAACCTCGACCGGCGCCCGCGCGGGGTCCGCTGGGGCCGGCGCGGCCGGTTTGGATTTTCAACAATGCCCCCCGGCCTGATTTGCGGAGCGCGCCGGCGCGGCCGGGCCCAAATCGCGCCGGCGCGGCCAGGCCGATCGGCCTGGCCGCGCCAGCGCGGCCGGGCCCGGCGCGAGCGGCGGGCGCGAGGGGAGGGGGGGGGGGGCGAAGGAGGAGGAGGGAAGCGGGCGAGCAGCGAGCAGGAGGAGGAGGAGGGCGGGGGGGCTGCGGAGGAAGACAACGACGGCGAAGGGGAAGGGGCGGGAGAGGCGGGCGAGGGGTTCGCGGCAGGAGAAGGCGCCGCCGCCGCGGCACGGCGAGATGAGCGCGCGACGGGTAGGGGGGGGGAAGTCGGGCGAAAGAGGAGGATGATGAGGGGGAGGAGGAGGGGCCGAGACGAGGAAGGGGAAGGCTGGTGAAGGGGTTGAGGAGGGAATAGTGAAAGAGGCATTGGGGTGTGCCGCGTGCAAAGCCGCGCCGCGACCATCGCCGTGGCGTCGCGTGCAGAACCCGCGCGGCATTCCTTGGTGGTTTACTGGCGCGCGGGGCCGTGGTTTGATTCGGCGCGTCGCCGCCGCGGGTCCGACGTTGCCCATCCCGCGCGCGCGCGTTCCCGTCGCTTCTGGAGCTGGGCAGAAGCTACTTTTAGCTATCTTGGAAAGCGATTTTCTTAGTTCGTTATATCTCATCTTGCTGTCTTGATCCCCAGCTGTCTAAGGCCATCCGGTGTCACAAGGCGTGTCCCTCTGCAGGAGGAACATAGTGGGGGCCCATGCCAAGGAACACCCTGCTTGCCTCCAGGGTGCCCTGGGTTTCTTGGGTTTCGATGGTTTTGCCGTGGAGATCGCGACGTTCCCGCACCAGAAATCAACGGACGTCCTGGGGCCTCAGGGTTGGGTTTCTTGTGGAAGGTTTCTTGTGGACTGGCCTGCGCTCTGACCAAAAATCGTCCAAAAGAGTGCGGGGACGATTCTTCAACGATTTTCGAATACTTTTCATTTTTCCTCCGAAATTCGCGTACAGGGGGACATGCCCGACCTAAGCCAGGGGCCGCGCTTGCCCAGGGCCACGCCCTCGCGTGGAGCCGACGCCCCTGCGCGGGGCGCGCGGGGCTCTGCGGGAGGGCCCCGCCACCCCCGCCCCAGAGGCCGTCCTGTCGACGGGCGGCCCCCGGGGGGGTCCGCGCCGCCGCGGGAAAACTGGGCGGCGCAACCGGCGCTTGAGCCTCGGAGCAGGCACGGCTTGCGTTGGCTTGGCATCGTTCGGATGTGCGCGTCTTGTCTCGGCGAGGACCATCGAGGAGCATCCTACATCACTTTTGCGAGATGCGACACGCACCGCACGCATTTTTTTATATCATTTTTTACAAAAAAAATAATAAAAAGGATGGGCGTCCGAGCGATATGGCGCGGTGTTTGGCCCTCGGAGTCGGCGCGTCTTGTGTCCGTCTTGGGCCTGCCCTTAAGTCGGGCGTGTTCTTCTACAGGTGGCAAATGCAAAAATAGTATGGGGACGATTGTTCGACTATTTGTAACTATCGTTGAATAGTTTGGGGCCATGTTTAATTTGTCCTTCAAAATCCGCCTGTAGAGGGGCATGCCCGACCTAAGCCTGCCCCGCACCGTCCTTCCTCGCCCTCCTTCTCCGGGTGCTGCCCGCAGGAAGGGGAGAGAGAGAGAGAGAGAGAGATAGCGAGAGCGACCGCCCGGGCAGCATTGTCGGCCCGCGAGGCGGCAGGGACAAGCAGGATCATCCTCTCCCCCCTGTCGTTGTCGTGAGGATCGGGTGCGAACGGTCGAGTTTGAATGAAACGTTTTGGCCGTGCCGATTTCAGGCGATCGCGAACATGGATCAAGGGGGCGTGGATTAGCGACGGGTCCCGTTTCCTAGGGAAATCGCGGATTTCCGCCGCCGAGCGAGGCAGCACCGGCCGCATTTTTGGGAGGGCACCTCCCCTGATCCATGGATTAGGCGACCGCGCGCCAAATCCATGGATCGCTAATCCGTGTTTGCGCGCTCCCGACGATTGTCGTCGCCACGGCTGGCTTCAACACCTCAGTACTGGAACGGTGCCGCCTTCAGCGGCGAGCCAGGGCCAGCACATCGAAGGAGTCCATTCTGGCCCGAAGGCTGAAGTAGCCCCGGTATCAGATGATCAACCGAAGCAGTGCTACGCGCTGCGCAGTATGGAACCTTCGGGCGCGCTGGAAGCGAAGCTCGAGGCCATCGTATCCAAATGCGTCTTTCGAAGCTCGGAGAAGACACACCAGGCTGTCCGAAGGCAGCCAACGGGGCACGGATAACCGTGCTACAGGAAGAAAGGAAAGGGTCAAGCCCAACCGCCAAGAGCTCCTTGAAAGGACTCACCGGGCAGGGCATCCTGCCGCTAGTACCAGCACGGCTAGATTCCGACGGGATTCTGAAGAAAGTAGGTTTGTTGGTTCGTCCCCCATCCCATCGCGCCCAAGCGTGGGATTGAAGCTCATGCGGCACGCACCGCAGAGCCAAGGAGTTGACGAATGCGCAACAGCAGGCACTCCAGGATCAGGGCAGACTGTTCGAGCAACAAGGGGGGCAAATATTGACATATTGCGATCGTCCCTGGAGGATGTCGCAAGTGCCTCACAAGCGCAACAATATTGCAGCGGTGGCACAGAGGCTCGGACTGTCATTGGCGAAATGGTAGCGGCGAGCGCCCAAGCCAGGGAAGCAGATCAACGAGTGACGGACCAAGGGACCACACGCTTCATTGAGCGCGTAAGTGTTGTAGAGGACCTTCTATGGAGGGGGGAGGTGGGAGGGAAGGAGAGAGGGAGGGAAGGAAGGAGGCTGACTGGCTGGGGTGGCCCATGAGGCAGCTCTCGCATCCTCAGGCACGGATACTGTCTCGGCGAGGCTGACTGGACAGGAGGAGGCCCCCGCGACGGAACATCCCCACACCGACCATTGTGCCTCCAGGCGGGCAGGTCCATGGCCACCCTTCGTGCCAGGAAAGCCCGCGATGGAGAGGGTCCTCATCTTCATTGCCAGGGGCTTCGCCCTGTCCCCTTGGCCCCCGCGATCAGAACAGCGTGCGTTAAGCACCATTGCAGACCAGCTGTCATGGCAAGGGGAAGACGAAGACCCTCCCTGGGGACTAGAGGGGGCCCCTTGCCCAGCCCAACCTGACCGACGTCGCACCCCGTTACCGAAGCGTCCCTGCTGAAGAAAGACCCTGCGGAGGGAGCGTGCAGCCTGGAGGGAGGGAGGAAAAGATGGACGAGGGGCGAGCGGATGGGGGAGGATATGAAGAACCCCCCTCCCAACCCACCCCAGCCCCACACGCGCAACCCCCAGCAAAGGCCTGTGTCGCTTGAGCAGACCTCTGCCGCGAAAGAGGCGCAGCCGAGAGGCAGCGAGGAAGAAAGCGAGAGAGAGAGAGAGAGAGAGAGACAACAGAAAAGAGAGAGCACACTCCAAGAACATAGACGGTGCGGCTCCTCGCTCGAATGCCACGGAGGGAGCAGGAGGCCACGCTTGGGAGCGCCCGCGCGGAAAGCGCGCCCCCCAGGTGCCTCGGCTTCAACTACAAGCCCGTGGGCGGCGCCCCGGGCTTCGAGGACCCCGCGCCGACGCGGGCCCTGCCGCTGTGGGGGGGGGGGCTGGTAGAGGCGGCACCCGTTTGCGCTCTCCTCGACTTCGCCCCTCCTCATCCTCCTCCTGCTCCTCCGTCCACGCTGCTCTCCTGCTCCCCCCTCTTCCTCTTTCTCCTCCTCCTCCTCCTCCTCCTCCTGCTCCTCCTCCACCTCCTCCTCCTCCTCCTCCTCTTCTCCTCCTCCCATCGCGTACGCTCTCCTCATCCTCCTCCTCCTCCTCCTCCTCCTCCTCCTCCTCCTCCTCCTCGTCATCCTCCTATTCATCCTCCTTCCCGTCCCAAATGACCATCACCATCATCTATACCAATTCCAATTTCCACATCCCCCTACCTCCTCCGATCATATGCTGTGCTGTGTCATGATACCACACAAACGCAGGCCGTAGAGTCACGGATGTCGCCACCTTCAGCGGCGTTCGCTCCTCCTCCTCTTCTTCCTCCTCCTCATCATCATCATCATCACCATCATTATCATCTTCATCATCGTCATCATCACCATCATCATCGTCATCATCACCATCATCATCATTATAATATGCATTCTAATATTCACCATCAACAGCAACATCATCACCAATAGCATCAGCATCATCTTCATCATCATCAGCATCAGCAGCATCGTCATCATCATCATCATCATCATCATCATCATCATCATCATCATCATCAGCATCATCAGCATCATCATCATCATCATCATATTCAGCATCATCATCGTCAGTTTCCTCCTCCTCCTCCTCCTCCTCCTCCTCCTCCTCATGATCCTCCTCCTCCGCCTCCTTCTCCTCCTCGCCTATGCTTGGCAGTCTCCCTCCTCTTCCTGCTTCCCTCCTCTTCATTCCTCTCTCCTCCCCCAGCGTGCGCGCTACCGCGCATGAGGGGCGAGAGAGGGAGACGCAGGAGGAGAGATAAGCGGGAGGGAAAGGGAAGAGGGAGAGGGAGAGGGAGGAGGGGAGAGAGGGGGAGAAAGGCAAGCTAGGCGCGTTCGCGCCATACGCGACATCCTATCTCTCCATCCCATCCCTTCCCACTGCGCGGATGTGTTATCGTTCCGCAGCCGCGTGTCATTTCCGACCTGGAACTCCAACAGAACGACCCCATCGTGTCATGCACAATCGGACAAGGGGGAATTGCGTCCATAGAGAGAGTAGGAGGAAGTGGGCAGGAGGATAAGCAGGAGGACAAAGAGGAGGAGGATGAAGGAGCATCGGCGGCCTGCACGCGGGTGGGGACGTATGGCGCCCCGCAGCGTCCCGCGGCCAAGTGCAGCCAGCCAGGCTCGAGCAACTCCTGCGGGCGCCTGATGACATCGCCCCCCCCCCCCATGATCCATGAGAGGCCAGTCGCCGAGCTCATCCTCTGCCGGCACCGCACCTCCCCCGCCACGATGGCGAGGCTCCCGGCAGACCCTCCTCCCCCCGTGCGCAGGCATGGACACTGCGACGGTCGACGGTGCCTCCAGTCAGTCATACCTGCAGGCATGCGTGGGCCGCCAGCGCTCGCCCTTCCGCGCGCGGATGCCGCCGCGGCCACCGCAGCACCGCCGCCCGTTCCCTTCCTGGGTCGGCGGCTACTCAGGATTTCGTGATAAAGGGGAGGGGGTCACATTGGGGGGGGGGGATCTGATTTGAGTCGTCTTGGAGGGCTCCAGTGGGGTCTGGACAAAAGGCGGCCCTTTATGGCTGTTCTTGGGGGGCTGGTTTAAAACTGCTCGTCAGGGAGCGTCGTGACCCCCTCCCTTTTATTACGAAATCTGGAGTACGAAGGGTATGGTTGCGCCGGGGTGTGGTCTGCGATCGGCACCGCTGGGGCCTGGGGGGGCACGACGCCGTCCTCGTCGGGCCTCCTCGGGGCGCGGGGGAACTCCATGGAGGTCCCCGCGCGCCCCCCAGGGTGCCCCCCCGAGATGTTCCCCAGGGGTGCTGGTTGCAAGCCGCACCCTTTGCAGATCATGCCCTTGGGAGTCGCCGACCAGGATCGACTTCGCTGCGGACCGCGCCCCGCGCCCAGCGTCCTGGGCGTCCGCCTGCACCTCTGGGGAGCTGGACCTTCCCCGAGTGGCGCTCCTGCGAGGGCACGGTGTCGCTGCCGCAGCCGACGGTGTGCTTAGAGAGCATGCCGTGGGAGTTCGCGTTCGCAGTAGTGTTAAGTCGGGCCTGTCCCCCTACAGGCCGATGTCCGAGGAACAACTAAGAATAGTCGAAACTATTCCAAAATGTTCCAAAAATCATAAAGAATAGTCCCCATATTATTTTTCGGCCATTTTTGAAGATTCCTCCTGTACGCCCCCGAGGAACCTATCCGCCTCGCCCCTGCTCCTCCACCCCCGCGCCCCGATGGCCCCGCGCCTGCCTGCGCCCCTGGCGGCACTGGCTGGGGCGACGCCGCGGACTGGACTGGAGGAGCCGCTCATTCCTCGACATCGCGCCGTCCCGCGACACCACTTAGGCGCGACCATGACCACGATGACGACCGTGGCCGTAGCAGGACTGCCGCACACGAGTATCGCAACGTCCACGCTTGGTGGCGTCGCGGACTCCAGCACTACCAACGCGACGCATGCCGTTACTGGTCGCACCACCTGTTCCAACGGATCTATGTCGACGAGCACGACAACGAGTACCTCTGGTCATGGGGCAGCTACCGTACTATCACCATCAGCTGGTTAAATGGTGACGGTAATCGTGTTTGGGACGAGCCTTACTATGACTATTGAACGTGGTTATTGATTGACATACGTTTCTGCGTACCTTGATATAGATATTTTAGATTGATTATTGATATTGGTTTGATCCCATTACGTATATGATGCATGGGTATCTTGAGATAGTTTGACACTCGTTTCGTTTGATTTGATATATGTCAGTTGACCTTGTGTATCGAAATCGATCTGGTTTAACCTGATATGACCCGGTAATCGGACATAAACGCACCCAGGCAGGTCGTCCGCCAGTAATCTTACACACTCAAACTTTGATTACTTGTGTATCATGGAACGGCGTCAGATCACGACCGATGAATAGCATTATCCATCATCATACTCGCTTACTACTCAACTACTTTTGGTGTCTGGGGTGCTTCACATCATGCATGATGCAATATCAGATATCAGTTGTCATCACATCTATCTGAACATATTATCAAATATGGGCCTGGGGTGCCCTTGCAATCTTTTGGGCCTGGAGAGCCCCGCGAATGAGATATAGTTGTACTTTGATTGAGTTGTCATCACAACTCTGAACCGTCTAACCTTTACGCGTGCGCCGCGTCGGTGGCTACATCTGCATCGAGGGATGTTGGTGTCACTTCTCTTTTCTCGTTCCCTTGCTCTCCCAGCCCTGTCACCTGCGGCGCAGGAGCATCGTCCAGGAGTGCCGAAGCGTTTTTTGGGGTGGCGCACCCTAGGCCCGCAACGTCGCGCAGATACTCCTAAGTACCCCGCGTGGCGGGGTTGGTTCCTTCCCACCTGCCTAGTCAATGCGCCCTCGTTTGGAGGGGCGTAGTGTGACGGGGCTGTGAGTGGGCCTCACACCTCTGTTCCCGATCCCTGCCGTTTTCCCCCGCGGGCCCGAAGCCATCGAGAGCTGGCAGGTTTCGGGACGGGGGGCGCGCGTGAAGTCCGCTCAATTCCCTATTGTATCCCTACCGCGACTGTTTTGGCTCAGGAATTGGCTGCCTAACCTTGGAGCACTGCTCGCTGCGCAGTGTCTAGGAAAAGAAGCCTCTACCGACGGACCCTATACGGGAACGGCCCCTCGGCCGTCTCCCTGTATTCACAGTATATGTCTGTATGTGTGTGTGTCTCTGTGTATGTCTGCGTGTATGCGTGTATGCGTGTGTGTTGTTGTTGTTGTTGGTGTTGTTGTTGTTGTTGTAGCTGTTGTGTGTGAGTGCGTGTGTGTGTGTGTGCGTCTGCGTGCGTCTGTCCGCGCGCGCGCTTGTGTCAGTGTGTGTTTGGGTGTGTCTGGGCGTGCGTCTGTGTTTGTTTGTGCGCGTGTCTGTGCGTAGGCGCGTGCGCGCGCGTGTTTGTGTGGATTGCTTTGTGTGTTGTGTTGAGTGCGTTGTGGTGCGCGTTGTGTTGTGTGTTGTGTTGTGTTGTGTGGGCTGTGTTGTGTGCGTTGTGATGCGTGCGCGTTGTGGTGTGTGTGTGATTGTGTTTTGGAGTATGTGCATGCGTGTTTGTGTTATCCGTGGTTATTGTCGTGTTTGTGTGTGTTTGTTGGTGCGTGTGCGTGTGCGTGGGGTCGCTTGGATTTTTCGGCACGGCTTGGGCTAACTCAGGAACTGGTTCAAGCATGGGCGGCCCGTACCGAGCTCCTGGAGGCTTCGCGTCGCAAAACGAGCGACCAACGCAGAGGATTCGGACTCGTCGGAGCACCTGCTAATCTCCATAGTTCAATTCTGCTCTGTTTCGGCCCGCGTGGCATTGGCAGGAGGAGGATTGGTGGTGGAGGAGGAGGAGGAGGAGGAGGAGGATGAGGAGGATCTCTGCGTCATCCCTTGTGCACCCAAAGGGTGGAGACGGCACACGGTTCCAGGAGAAGACGTGCCAGCTCGTGAGCCAGGAGCACATCTGCAAAACGGACGTCACGAATTTGACCATGTACACAAAAGGGGTCCGCCGCACCCTCGCGGATGCCTCTTTCGTCAGGCTGGCTGGTCCGTCTTCGCTCGTTCTTCCATGCGACTTGCTCAGCGCAGCATTCTAATCCCCCTTTCATCCGTTTTTCTCATCCCCTTGCTCTTTCTCCTCCTCCTCCTCCTCCTCCTTCTCCTCCTCCTCCTCCTCCTGCGCCTCCCCTTCCTTCCCCCCCTCCTCCTCCTCGTCCTCCTCCTCCGCCTCCTCCTCCTCCTCCTCCTCCTCCTCCTCCTCCTCCTCCTCCTCCTCCTCGTCTTGCTCTCCCATCCCCTATTACTGACGAGGCTCACGCCATTCCGCCGACCCCCCAGGAGAGGAGGCGTGCGGCTTCCGGTCTCGCGTGTGTTGTTGCTCGCCGCGTCCCGTCGTGCCCTCTGCGTGTAACTTTTGCTGGTTCGACCCCCCCTCTCCTCCCCCCGCCGTCTGCTGCAGCGTTTCTGTCGGGGTTTCGTGGAAGGTCTCGGGGGAGGCCTCGTGGGAGTTGTTGCTTTAGGATTCCAGGCGAAACTGAAGGGCTCCGCGGCCCAGGGGGGCTGCCCTGGGAGGCGAAGGGGGCCAGGTGTGGTGCGGCGCTGAGCCATTGGACGCCAGGCCAGGGGGGACGCCGAGAGGGGGACGCCGAGGGGAGATCGAGGCCATACCCAGAAAAAGTCAGGGTCAGGCGACCGCAGACATGGATCCAGGGGGCGTGGATTAGCGGCGGGAAACCGCGAACTTCCGCCGCCGAGCGAGGCGGCACCGGCCGCAGTTTGGGGAGGGCACCTCCCCCGATCCATGGATTTGGCGACCGCGCGCCAAATCCATGGATCGCTAATCCATGTTCGCGCGCCACCGAGGATTCCGGGGTGTTCTTGGGGCATGCTGGGCGCCTTGGGGAGCATGTTGTGGAGGAGGGCTCCCGGGCCCCCAGAGTTGGGGGCCCCTCCCTTGGGGCCCCTGGAAAGCCGTTCTGGCTGTCCTGAAGGCCTCTTGGGCAGTCTTGGGCCCCTCCTGGGCCATCTCCGGGCCCTCCTCGGGGGGGCCTCTGCCGCCATCTTGAGCAAATCTGGAGCGCTTCTTGGGCTGTCTCGGGGCGCAGACCCCGAGATGATTAGAATGCCGAACGCATTCAAAACAAATGTTGTCTCTTTAGATGTCACCCTCTCGAGCCCGTCTTGTGAGCCTTCCTGTGCCTTCTTCGGGCGGCTTCCAGGCCTCTCCTGGCCAATCTTGCGGCCCCATGCCTGGCTGTTCTGGAGGCCTCTCCGGTGCGCTGCAGCTGTTCTTGAGCCATCTTAGAGGGCATCCTGGGCATCCTGGAGGGGAAGGAGGAGGAGGAGGAGGAGGACGAGGAGGAGGAGGAGGAGGAGGGGGAGAAGGGATGATGATGAGGAGGAGGAGGAGGAGGAGGAGGAGGAGGAAGGGGAGAAGCAGGAGGAGGAGGAGGAGGAGGAGGAGAGGAGGAGGAGGAGGAGGAGGAGGAGGAGGAGGAGGAGGAGGAGGAGGAGGAAGAGGAGGAAGGCCGCCACTCTGTGTCGAACTGGGGGGGTTGCCCCCCCGCGCGCGCGGCCTTCCTTCGACCCGCATGGAGCATGGCAGATGATGTGTCACCTTCAGGGGAACGGGTGTCGGACGCCCGTCGTGGCGTAACAATCGTGCAGTACAATCCGCAGTCTTGCAATCAAGCCAGAGGTAGAGATATTGTGGACGAGCTCCGCAACGCGGACATCATAGGTCTTGTCGGGACTCAACAGAAAGCAGGTGAGCATGTGTTCGAATCCAGGATGCACGAGGGGCACTGGTCGATCGACTGGGGATGGAAGCGTGGTCAGCATGTAAATCGAAGTTGTGGGGTGAGCTTGTGGATTAGACGAAAGCTATTCGCTCCCAGGCAGATCCGTGGATTCTTTGAGATACCTCGTGGGCTCCAAGGGCGTGTGGGAGGTGTACGACTGGAACGGGCAGGGATGCGGCTCGCTCTTTTTGTGCTCTACTTTCCTCCCATGCCGCGCGGGTCCCAGGAACGTCGACAGTGGACATGTACGGTGGATGCTATGTTACGATGGATCACGCATGTTTTGTCTGAGGTGTCTTCGAGGTGGTCTCCCATCCTGATGATGGACGCCAACGGGCAGTTCGAACATCTTCCTGGGGTCACGGGCCACCACGGCACAGGTAGCATGAACACTACTACGTCGGGGCTTCTTGCAGTGTTTCAAGCACATCAGCCAGTTGTTGTCAACACGGAATACCCCGCAGGTGACACGTACTATGGCTTGAACTCTGTACCACGGGTGCTTGACTACATCGTGATTCCTCGAGAGTGGGCCGACCACACTGTATATTGTCAAACATATATGCGTAGTGCATGGCGACTCCAATCTCATCATAACTCTCGGATTTGGGATCATGTGCAAGGACAGTATCATAGTCACCAGATGCCAAAATTAAGTGGGGAGGCTCTATCTATGATGGCGCAGCGGGGCTGGCAACGAGCTTCTTTCGTTAAAAAGGTGGAGCGCAAGCTCGCTGCTGAGTGGGAGCATGTGTCAGCCCTGCCGTCGTCTCGTGTTATGGATGCAGTAAATGATCTACTCATGGAGACGATCAATGCCACCGCCAACGAGTTTTTTTGCGAGAGCCCCCTCTACACGGAGGATCATCGGCGCCACACGGCTGAGGTGTCTCACTTGCTGTGGAAGCGTCGCAATCTTCGTGAATCTTTTTCTGGGCTGGAGGCTAATCCTGATCAGGAAGCTGCAGCCCTCTCGCTTCAACTTCAGCTATGTAGACTGAGTAAGTGGATTCGCAGGCGTAAGAAGCAGTACTGGCAGCAGGTGATTTCGGATAGGTGTGTTGCATTTCAGGAGGCGGTGGAGAGGAACGACGGATATATGATACATAGAATGGCTCGCATGCTTGTACAAACAACCCGAGGTGGGAGGAAACGAGCGCATCGACTTCGAGTTGAAGGAACGGTGGAGGAGTGGAGCAGAAAGGTGGAGAAGGTGGGGCACGAGGGTGGATGTTCAGCACAGCTCAGGGAGGAGGAGGAGATGAAGCTGGAGAGGGAGACGCACTTCTTGAGGCCAGAAATGGTCACGAACGAAATGATTGAGGAAGATTTCGAGCGGATTGCATGTGCCTTGTGGAAGGCGCGTCTGTGGCGAGCATGCCCGCAGTGGAGCTGCCAGGTCGAACTGCTCCGCGCCTTCTTCTTCCCGAAGTGGCAGAATAAACGGATGAGGGAAAAAAGGCACGGGGTGGGATTTCAGGCGGACACAACGAAGCTGATCGCACCCAATTTTTGCCGGTGGATTCGGCTTCTACTTCAACAAATTCGGATGTGCGATCGGCTCCCGTGCAGCTGGCTAAAGGCGGAGGCTGCCAGGATTGGGAAGGCCAATGAGAAAGAAGGGACGGATGGGGAGAGGATTGTTATGATGATATGTTCTCTGGGAAAGATTTTCTATCGAGGTGTACTCATGAGGGCCCCGAAGGTTGACATACCTAGTTGGGTTTACGGCGCTTTGAAGCACCGTCGGCGGGAAAGTGCTGTCGTGGTTCAGTCGTGCTCGGCATGGCGAATGCGTAGTCTTGGAATTCAGCATATGCGACGCTTTCACGACGCTGCGAACGCTTTTTATTCCATGTCTCTGGCAACGCCGTTGAAGACAGCGCTCACGATCCTCCACCCAGGCGATGTGCCGTGTATGCTGGATCGCATCAAATTCGCGCACTTCATCTTTAAAGGGATGCCTGAGGGTCAAGTCTTCATGATGAGGGAGGGGTGTATGGCGGGGGATCCAGTCATGGTCTACATTTTTGTGGTATCATATGCAAGGGGGATACAGCGGCATCTTGAACGGCAGGCACTAGACTGGGCACGAGCCACGTCTCCCTTCACGTCGCAGCAAGAGCAGGTGTGTTTAACCCTTTTCGTCGACGATTTGGCCGACGCCCTTGCGTTTCGCTCGCTTGAAGATCTTCGGAGTGTAAGTGCTGCTCAGAATGATCGGGTGAACGGGGCTATCGAGGAGATGGGGCTTAGACAGAACATCGGGAAACAAGAGACACTACCTATATGCTGTGGGAAGGGAGGGTATCGGCACGAGCAGCTCTTGCATCAGCAGTTCACGTTGCAGGGTCGTATTTTAGTTTGCGCACGCTACCTGGGAGTCAGGGTCTCAGCGCGCTTCGCTGTTGGGCAAGAGATCCAGTTTCGACTTCTGGCGGGCAAAACTGCGTGGAAAAAAATGGGACAATTTTGGACGTCATCCACCCCCCTCAAGTGGAGAAAGAATCTTTATAAAGGCTATGTTCTAAACGCAGTCTTGTCAGGGATGGAGGTGCTCGCTCACAGTCATGGCCCGCTGCGAGAGAGTGACACCTCGAGTATCGAAAGTTTTGTTGCACGTCATGCACGCGTTGCCCTTCGAGGTGTTGCGTGGACTGACTCGTCTGGACAGACGAGAAGTAGCTCAAACCTCGAGGTTCTTGCTCAGTTCCGCATCCCGCCTATTTTCGTGGCGCTGCGCGTGAGGCGGCTGAAGTGGCTGCAGGACTTGTTTGAATACCCAGATACCTCGGCTCAGATCCTCTCGGTGGTCTTTGGAGAACTCCATGTGGGCTCTAATTCCCAGCAGGCGTTCCAGGACATCCCCGAAAGTAAGTTGAACCCATGGGCCCGACAATGGTTAGAGGATATTCGAGCTGTTCAGGTGTTTGATGATGGTATGGTTCTCCTGGAAAATTATAACATGTCCCCCATTGAGGTCCTCCTGCATGGCCGTGAAGATTTCTGTAGGCTGGATGTCTCGGGCATTATTGCGCATTATTGGACAACCCAGAAAGAGTATCAGATGAGAAGGAGGAGGAGGACCAGCGAGGACGCCGAGGGGCTGTTTCAGTGTTGGGCCATGCTCGAGGACGGGAGTAGGTGTCCAGCAGTTTTTTCGTCGAAGGCCCAGCTTGCGTCGCACTTCGTACATGCGCGAG